TCCTTTGCCGTTTTTATGTATTGTGGCTATGTTCTTTGTGTTTGTAGCTCTCCTTTCTTTTTCTGGTGTCTTCTGAACATTAGGCATGCTTGCTTTTGATATCAAATATCAAATTTGTCAGTCTTTTTTTTTTTTTTTCTTTCTTGTTACCCCCCCTCTTCCCTTCCCCGACCAGTCTTTTTCTTATGGTTAGCCTTAATTTGTGTCTTACTTAAAAGTTAGGCACTATTACAAAGTCATATAGGTATTTTCTGATTACGTCTTCAAAGCTTTTGTAGCTTGAGCATTGCCATTCATTTTTAACCAACCTGGGAGTGATTTTTCTTAGCATAATGTAAGAGGTCAAAGTTTATTATAATAAAACAATGAAAACAACAACTGACTCTGGCACAATTCATGGAAATGTCTTTCTCTGTTGATCTACAGTGCCTACTTCGTTTTAAATTAAATTACCTTATATTTGCGTGGGTGTGTTTAAGGTTCAGTTCCATTAGTCACTTTCCCTATTTCTGTACCAATATCATGTTATCTTAATTACTGTGGCTTTATAATAATTCTTACCTGCTCAGCAGGTCCTCTTAACAAATTATTGTGGTTTTATAATAATTCTTACCTGCTCAGCACATCCTCTTAACATTCTACTTGAGGGTGTCTTGTCATTCTTGTCTTCTGATCTAATATATATGTTTTGGAATCAGATTCAGGTTTTCAAGTTTCCTTCAGTCTCTCTCTCTCTCTCTCTCTCTCTCTCTGTCTCTCTCTCTCTCTCTGTCTCTCTCGGGATTTTCATTAGAATTACCTTGACCCTTTGGAGCATTTTGGAGATATAGAACATCTTCTTAATGTTGAATCATTCATTCTGTAATCACTGTACATTTCTCCATTTATTTGGCTCCTTTTTAATTTTTTTCAGTAAAGTTTTATATTTTCTCCAAGGTAGTCTTGCATGTTTTGTTTCATTTATTCCTACACACTGCATCTTTTTTTGATGGTATTGTATGTGGTATCTTTTTTAATTATACTTTCCAACTGATAGTTGGAGAAATTTAGAATTGCAATAGAATTTTATGTGCTGGCTATGTCTTGTTATATCTATTAGTTTCAACACTTTTGTGTAAGCTGTGTTAGATTTTCTACATGGAAAATCTTGTGGTCTTTGAATGACAGTTTTCTTTCTTTCTTTCAAATTCTTTTATCTTTTATTTTTCTTGTTTTTCTGATACTGATGACAGCTGGTATGGTGCTGAATAGGAAAACCATTGTTAGTTATCTTGCTTCTGATCTTAAAAGAGAGACTCTGTAAACATTTTCTTCGTGACTATGTTTGCAAAAGGTGTTTGATAGGATAGTCTTAATTAGAGGAAGTTCTCTTTTTAATTTACTGAGAGTTTTCTTTTTAATTCAAGAGTTGATGTTATTTTATCAGATGCTTTTTCTTCACCCATTGAAATGACCTATTTTTTCTCCCTAAATCTGTTAATATAGAAAATTACATCAATATGTTTTCTAATATTAAATCAACCTTGCATCACCAGGATAAACACGTTTATTTGGGTCATGTTATGTTAGTTTTTTTAAATATTAATTTTTGTATCTCTGGTCTTCAGTGAGATTGGCCTGCAGTGTTCATTTCTCATACATTCCTTGTCTCATTTTGTGTCATGTTAACCTCATAAAAATGAATTGAGGATGTTAATTCTTTGTGCTCTGGAGAGTTGTGTTAAATTGGGATGATCTGTCTCTTGAATCATTGGTCAAACTTGGTGTTAAAGTCATCAGGGCTTGATTTATTTTTGGTAGAGATCTTTTAAATTACTGTTTATTCTCTTTATGATAATAGGATTAATAAAGTTTTTCTATTTCTCCTTTGGAGTGTTTTACTAATTTTTTGAAGGCATTTTTTGCCACTTCATCTTAGATTTTTAAATTTATTGCCTTAAGATCTTCATCATACTAATTTATTATCTATTAAATTTCTGCAGCATCTGTAACTAGGTCTCCCTTTTGGATTATATATTGCTAGTGTATAGAAATACAGCTGATTTTTGAGTGTTAATTTTGTATCTTGAACTTTGGTAGATTTGTTTATGAACTTTAATAGTTTTTTATGGATTCTTTTGAGTTTTGTAGACATATGATAAGTCTATCACAGATGTCATCTGTGAATAGAAATTCTACTTCTTTCCAATTTGAACACCTGTTTGTGATTTTTAAAAAACATTCTTCTGGGGCGCCTGGGTGGCTCGGTCAGTTGAGCGTCCAACCTCGGCTCAGGTCACAATCTCGCGGTCCGTGAGTTCGAGCCCCGCGTCGGGCTCCGTGCTGACAGCTCGGAGCCTGGAGCCTGTTTCGGATTCTGTGTCTCCCTCTCTCTCTGCCCCTCCCCTGTTCATGCTCTGTCTCTCTCTGTCCCAAAAATAAATAAACGTTAAAAAAAAAAAACAAAAAAAACCACATTCTTTTAATATTTTTTAAAAAAATGATTTAAGTAATCTCTACACCCAACGTGGGGCTCAAACTCACGACCCCAAGATCAATAGTCACATGGTCTTCTGCCCCCCGTCGGGCTCTGTGCTGACAGCTCAGAGCCTGGAACCTGCTTCGGATTCTGTGTCTCCCTCACTCTGCCCCTCCCCTGCTCATGCTCTGTCTCTCAGAAATGAATAAATGTTAAAAAAGAATTGTAAAAAGTCATATGCTCTTCTTACTGAGCCAGCCAGGCGCCCTAAAACATCCTTTTAGTTATTGATTATATTATCCAATTGCAATGTGGTTAAAGAATACAGTCTTTATAAAACCAATCCTTTGAAACATGATAATCATTCACTTGATTTTCTTTATAGTTTTGTTTTTATTACTTATATGCGTGTCACTAAATAAGATATTATTATTTAGTTTTGCATTTTTTTGGAATTTATATTAGTGGAATGATTACATGTCATTCTGGTATTTGCTTTCTTCCCCCTGCTATAGACTGAATTCTGTCCCCCCACCTCCCAAATTCATATATTGAAGCCCTAACCCCCAATTTGATGGTGTTTGGTATTGGGGCTTTGGGAGATACTTAGGTCTAGATTAAGTCATGAGGTGGGGCCCTCGTGATACTAGTGCGCTTATAAGAAGAGACCCCAGAGAGCTCGTTCCTGTTCTCTTTCCCTATCATGTGAGGCCCCGATGAAAAGGAACTGTCTTCAAGCCAGGAAGAGAGCACTCACCAGAAATCAACTATGCCAGCATTTTTTGTTTGTTTGTTTTAATGCTGGCACTTTGATCTTGAATCACTAGTTTCCACAATAATGAAAAAATAAATTTCTGTTAAAGCCACTGAGTCTGTGGTATTTTGTTATGGTAACCCGAGCTCAGATAAAGGGAAGGCCCTTTTCCACATTAAGTTTTTGACAATCCTTCATATGATGGGTATAATTTATTTCTTTACATTTTGCTTCTTGGGGCGCCTGGGGGTCTTTGTTGGTTAAGTGCCGGCTTTGGCTCAGGTCATGATCTCATGGTTCTTGGGTCTGAGCCCCACGTCAGGCTCTGTGCTGACAGCTCGGAGCCTGGAGCCTGCTTCGGATTCTGTGTCTCCCTCTCTCTCTGCTCCTTGCCTGCTCGCACTCTGCCTTTCTGTCTCTCAAAAATAAATAAACATTGGGGCGTCTGGGTGGCGCAGTCGGTTAAGCGTCCGACTTCAGCCAGGTCACGATCTCGCGGTCCGTGAGTTTGAGCCCCGCGTCGGGCTCTGGGCTGATGGCTCAGAGCCTGGAGCCTGTTTCCGATTCTGTGTCTCCCTCTCTCTCTGCCCCTCCCCCATTCATGCTCTGTCTCTCTCTGTCCCCAAAATAAATTAAAAAAACGTTGAAAGAAAAAAATAAATAAATAAATAAATAAACATTAAAAAAATTTTTTTTTTAAATAAAAAAAGAAGTGTTCTTGTTACAGGATTCCATTGTGTGGACGTACCATAATTTATCCATTCTGGAATTGGTGGACATTTGGGTAATTTCAGGGTTTTTTTTGGTCATTACAGTGCTTTGATGAACATCTACATGTCTTTTGCTACACAGGTTAAGAGTTTATTGTGTATATGTAATTGCCAACACTGCTTTGTTTTTGATCTTCAAAAACAATGATTTCATATGGTTTAGTATAGTATCTAGGAGTGGAAATGCTGGACTATAAAACTGTTTTCTCAAGTGATTATGCCATTTACCCTCCCACTTGGTGTGATGAGTTTCTTTGGTCCCACATTTGGTACTGACAGACTTTTATGCTTGGCTACTGTGGTGCATGTGGGGTTATTTCCTTGTACTTTAATTTGTATTTCACTTTGTTACATTTTAACTTCTTTTCATTTATTTATGGACCATCATATTTCCTTTCCTGTGAAGTTCCTATTTGTGATTTTCCCCCGTTTTCTATTGCAAGTGTTTGAGAGCTGGCTCTTTTTTACTGGGATGTGAATTGCTTGGTGAATTTAAAATCTTTTGAGCCAAATCTTGGTTTTAGGCTGTGCTTACATGACTAATATGGATGAATTCATCTCAGTTTGCATTTAAACAATTGGAAGCTCTAAACTACTGTGTTTTTCTTCCAATAAAATATAGATCAGGTACATGAATTATTTATAATTTTCCCTCTCTGTTTCAGTTTACTCATTTGTAAAACAATGGGCTTTGACTGGTTAATACCTAGTATCCCTTTTACTAGTGTCTTTAATTCATCTAGTATTTTTCTTCTTGGTTTTTGAAACTTAGAAATGTTAGTTTTATTATAGTACCAAACTGTAAAATGTTGGTTTTGTTTTGTTTTTTCCTTTTTGTTTTTCATCAGAAAATGGTGGATTTTGTTTCTGTGAGATGTGATGTTAGCTCTCCAAGGACCGCTCCTTAAGTTAATGTCCCTGAGAGATACTACTGCCTTTTACTTTTTTTTTTTTAATTCTTAAAATGCTGTTAAACCTAGAAATTTAATCCTAACATGTATGAATTATTCTTTCTCAGAGTGAAGATACACAACAGCAAATCATCAGGGAGACATTCCATTTGGTATCTAAGAGAGATGAAAATGTTTGTAATTTCCTAGAAGGAGGATTGTAAGTAAAGCATTTCATGAACATTTCTAATCTTTGGCTATATGATTAAAATATATGCTGTTTAATTGGTTAATGGTAAAAATTTCCTACTTTTTATGAATTGGATTAGGAGATTACCACCTATTGTTAGCTGTAAATCTAACTTGGAATTTTTTGAAGATATGCAGTCTTTGTTGTTTTTTTAAAAATTTTTGTGGAGTCATTTTATATAAAGGTCATGGCAACAATTCACATGTTGCAGGGACATGTAAAATTATAAACTAAGTTTCCCTTTCCTGACTTTAGTCTTTCCCGATTTCTTGTGTATCCTTCTAGAAAATTAAGTTTTTTATGACTAACATATAAAAGTAAAATCTTATGGGATGCGTGGGTGGCTCAGTTGGTTAAGCATCCAGCTTCTGCTCAGGTCATGATCTTGTGGTCCGTGAATTCGAGCCCACTTTGGGCTCTGTGCTGACAGCTCAGAGCCTGGAGCCTGCTTTAGATTCTGTGTCTCCCTCTCTCTCTGCCCCTCCCCTGCTCGCACTCTGTCTCTCTCTCTCAAAAATAAAGAAACATTAAAAAACAAACAAACAAAAAAACCCCAAAACTTTTACTTATGGGATCACACTAGGTATGCTTGTTTGCATGTTACTTGTTTTCACTTAATATTTTGAAAAGCATATAAGCACATTTAGAACAGCCTAGGTAAATGGACCTGTTCATAGAAATTTAGATTACATTCTTTATCTTATTATTGTAAACAAGCCTGAAGTCTGCTTTTCGCATACATATCAGTGTGAATGTATATGTATCTATATATAGGCATATGTATATAGATAGAATTCAGCTAATACAGTTTTGTTTTTTAAAATGAATAAATAAAAATCAGTTATAATTATCTTGCCAACTATTATAAATACTTTTAAATTAATAGATTCCATGAAAGCAGTGTGTTCTCAAAATAGCTTTATAAATGTTCCCTCTACTGTTTATATAATCAATTTCTTAATATTTCCTCATTGACAATTCAAACACTAAACTAGCTCAGCCCCATTATGAATAATCAGAGATTAGTCAGAGAAACCCACACTTTTCTGTATTTTAATGTGTATGATTTATATTATGAAAAAGAGTTTGGGTAATAAAAAATTCATTCTTTGTTGATCATAAATTATTTTTTAATCATGTAGAAAGTTTACTTGAATTTCTTAAAAGGGTATTTCATGCTCCAGTTAAATTTTTCAAATACACATTTACAATTTATAAACTTACTTTTTTTTTTTTTTTTTTTTTGCGAGAGAGTGAGGGAGCTTGAGCAGGGGAGGGGCAGAGAGAGAGGGAGAGGGAGCATCCCAAGCAGCCTCCGTCTGTCAACGTAGAGCCCAGCATGGGGCTGGATCCCAGGAGGCGTGAGACCATGACCCGAGCCAAAATCAAGAGTCAGACGCTCAACGTATCACTCAGCTTAACCAGCTGAGCTACCCAGCAGCCCCTCTCAGCCTCTTAATGTCACTCTTAAGAATCCGTCTTAAGTAGCAAATCCATCAATATGGTATCCCCCTATTTTGAATCTCTTTGTAGTGTTTTCTACTCTGATAATTTTTTCTTATTTGTTTATTGTTTCTTACCCACTCTCAGTACCTGGCAAATGGTAGGTACTCAGTAGATAGCTTAATGAATTAATGAACTAAAATTAAGCACCAGCTTCTTTTACTTATTATCTCTGAAGAAAACAGCCACGATAATTTACTTAGTCTCCCAAGTTCACTTGAATGCTATGCCCAGACATTTTATAAAGGGTTTTAAACACATTGTCAGTTTGCTTGAGCTAATGAAAATGTGTTTCATTTTATCCCTATACCATTCCATTTTTTGGTTTTGTTTTGTCATTTAGGTTAATTGGAGGATCTGACAACAAACTGATTTATAGACATTATGCAACATTATACTTTGTCTTCTGTGTGGATTCTTCAGAAAGTGAACTTGGCATTTTAGATCTAATTCAAGTAAGTTAACACTTATTGTCTTAATACCATTTTTGGCATTTATATATTTTAAAACTTGTATGCTCTAAATTTTCTAAAATGATGTTCTGTTTGGTAAGAAATAAATTGTTGCATAGTAGATATGAGATGAGTGAAATGGGGACTAAGGTGCTAAAACACATGGGTAAATTTAATCAGATTAAGACTAATCACAATTAATTTAATCATGCCCTTTTTTCTTGTTAACGTAAGTCATGCAAGAAGCCCACGATTCCGGATCTCTTACCATGTGTATCCAGATCTGATCCCCAAACCCACCCCTCCCTGCCTCCTGAAAATCTTTCTTAATGTCCCTGGAACTCAAGGTCGGTCATAAGCACATTCCCCTGTATCTTCAACCTCTTTGTTAATGTTGCCTTCACTTTTTTCCTGTAATAAATTACATCTGGCTTCCCTGCTGACACTACCTGTAACCCTCTCAAGTAATAACAGTCCTGCTCTCTTCTCTTCATACTGCTGAGCCTGCTAGTGTTTTCTTTGCTTCTTGTTGCTTTTTCCAGACCATTCTCTTGTTTAAAATGCCTCCAAACTTTATTTCTTGTTTGTAAACTATACCACCTTCTCTGCCCATCCTGTTTGAGTAACCTCTCATCCCCACCTCCTATTTGTTGGGGATTTTATCAAAAACTTTCAAAGGTCTGAGATTCTACCCTACTTGCAAGCTAACAAGTTCACTACCACAGTGTCGTGGATGCCAGCAGAGGACAGGAGACTTCTGGATTAGAAACAAAGGACTTATTCCGAACAGCACAAACAGTAGACATAGTAACAGCATTTGCTTACACTGGATCCCCACGCCAATCTCCAAAGTTGCCAAAGGGTGACATTAAGAGGGCCAGATGATACCTGTACAAACAGTGGATTGAGTTATAGAAGAGGAACTGGAATCTTTTATACTGGATACTAATCATGTCGGCCCATGTCCTGGAGGAAAAGAATATCTTCCATGGGTATAGATAAACCTACCTGTTGCTTTGGAGAGAAAGACTCTCTATTTTCTGGGGCTGTTTTCTTATACAGGCTTGCTTAAAAAGATAGTCCGCAAAAATAGCAGTCTGTACCTCTGCTTATATTATATGCAGAAATGGCAGACCCATGGGGTCTCCTAAAAATTTTACTCTTAGCTCACTGGCAGTCACTGGTACTACTTGTGTTCTAATTCTTGGTGATTTCAGTATTCAGTATTCATGTGGATAATTCTCCCAGTACCCTGGTGTCTTCAGACTAGTATTCCCTTTCATTGAACTTTTGCCCTCTGCTGCACCTGGTGTTCATTTCTAGACCTTGTTTTTGTCCAAACTGCCATTCTCCATAATCTCCATTTCAGTTTCCCCTCTGTCTACCACCTTTCTCCATATCGCAGTTTCTATTAATGCAATAATTCCTTGAGCCTGTTGGGACCTTCAGTCTTTTGAATCTTAGCTTTTTTTTTTTTTTTTTTTTTTTTTTTTTTTACTGTCCATCTTCCTGATGTCTTATATTCCTTACCCTGCTTCAATTCCATGGTCAGTCGTGATAAATCATAGTCTGGTATACACCTAGCTCCTTCTTTGTATCCAAATGTCTGAATGTACTTGTAGAAAAAAAAACAAACATAGCCATTCCACAGGTCTCACTTTTTTTTTTTTTCGAGAAAGAACAGAATATGGGTATAGTTTTTAGAAATACAGAGGTATATATATGAGAAGAAAGATCTAAAAGAGTAAAAAGTGGTTTATTCCCCACTGAAAGTACCCATCAGGTGCCTGGTACAATAAAGTTCAGAATGGTGGATCCCTGGGGCACCTGGGTGTCTCCGTCAGTTAAGTGTCTGTCTCCGGCTAGGGCATGATCTCATGGTTCATGAATTCCAGCCCTGCTTTGGGCTCTGTGCTGACAGCTTGGAGCCTGGAGCCTGCTTCAGATTCTGTCTCTCCCTCTCTCTTCTCCCTCCCTCTTTCTGTCTCTCTCTCTCTCTCTGTCTCCCCTTCCCCTGCTTGCACTCTGTGTCTCTCTCCCTCTCAAAAATAAATAAATATTAAAAAAAAATTTTTTTTAAAAAGAATGGTGGCTCCTCACCTGTATCCCCACTGAAAGCAGAAGTCAGTGCTGGAGTGGGGGCTAGACCCCACAGCTGCTCTTATTTTCATTTCATTTCATTTCATTTTTTTAATTTACATCCAAGTTAGTTAGCATATAGTGTGACAATGATTTCAGGAGTAGATTCCTTAGTGCCCCTTACCCATTTAGCCCACCCTCCCTCTCCCACATCCCCTCCAGCAACACTCAGTTTGTTCTCGATATTTATGAGTCTCTTATGTGTTGTACCCCCTCCCTGTTTTTATATTATTTTTGTTTCCCTTCCCTTACGTTCATCTGTTCTGTGTCTTAAAGTCCTCATGAGCAAAGTCATATGATAATTGTCTTTCTCAGACTGACTAATTTCACTTAGCCTAATACCCTCCAGTTCCATCCACGTAGTTGCAAGTGGAAAGATTTCATTCTTTTTGATCACCGAGTAATACTCCATTGTATCTATGTACCACATCTTCTTTATCCATTCATCCATCGATGGACATTTGGGCTCTTTCCATACTTTGGCTATTGTTGATAGTGCTGCTATAAACATTGGGGTGCATGTGCCCCTTTGAAACAGCATAACTGTATCCCTTGGATAATTACCTAGTAGTGCAATTGCTGGATTGTAGGGTAGTTCTAATTTTAATTTTTTGAGGAACCTCCATACTGTTTTCCAGAGTGACTTGCACCAGTTTGCATTCCCACCAGTAGTGCAAAAGGGTTCCTCTTTGTCCACATCCTCATCAACATCTGTTGTTGCCTGAGTTGTTAATGGTAGCCATTCTGACAGATGTGAGGTGGTATCTCATTGTGGTTTTGATTTCTGTTTCCCTGATGATGAGTGATATTGAGCATTTTTTATGTGTCAGTTGGCCATCTGGATGTTGTCTTCTTTGGAGAAGTGTCTATTCATGTCTTTTGCCCATTTCTTCACTGGATTATTTGTTTTTTGGGTGTTGAGTTTGATGGGTTCTTTATAGATTTTGGATACTACTCCTTTGATACGTCGTTTGCAAATATCTGTTCCCATTCCGTCAGTTGCCTTTTAGTTTTGCTGATTGTTTCCTTCGTTGTGCAGAAGCTTTTTATTTTGGTGAGGTCCCAATAGTTCATGTTTGCTTTGGTTTCCCTTGCCTCTGGAGACATGTTGAGTAAGAAGTTGCTGCAGCCAAGATCAAAGAGGTTTTTGCCTGCTTTCTCCTTGAGGATTTTGATGGCTTCCTGTCTTATATTTAGGTCTTTCATCCATTTTGAGTTTATTTTTGTGCATGGTGTAAGAAAGTGGTCCAGGTTCATTTTTCTGCATGTTGCTGTCCAGTTTTCCCAGCATCACTTGCTGAAGTGACTGTCTTGATTCCATTGGATATTCTTTCCTGCTTTGTCAAAGATTAGTTGGCCATACGTTTGTGGGTCCATTTCTGGGTTCTCTATTCTGTTCCATTGATCTGAGTGTCTGTTGTTGTGCCAGTACCATACTGTCTTGATGATTACAGTTTTGTAAGAGAACTTGAAGTCTGGGATTGTGATGCCTCCAGCTTTGTTTTTCTTTTTCAAGATTGCTTTGGCTATTTGGGGTCTTTGCTGGTTCCATACAAATTTTAGGATTGTTTGTTCTAGCTCTGTGAAGCTACAGATCTCACTTTAAATTTATGATCTCCAGCCTCGGTGAGTCCTTAATGCTACCCAGTAATCATATTTCCCTGATCCCTCCATCTCCCAGACTCCTGGGCAACTGGTAGGTTCTCCTTTGTCAAAGCTCTGGCACTTCTGGCGTCTTGCTTCCTCCTTCACTGAGAGAACTGAAGCCATCAGAAGAGAACTTCCATAGACTCCACATCTGGGTCCATGCACTCTGCTTTCTCTCCTGTGAGGGAGGAACTCCCCATGCTCCTGCCTAAGACCAGCTCACCCACTTACGAAGCAGTCTCCTCCCCATGGCTCTAGCACTTCTCCCTCTCTCTACTGAATCCTTTTCCCTCTCTCTCCCCAGTCATTCCCACCAGCTCTAGTACGTTCTCCCATCTTGAAAGAAGTCCTACCCCTACTTCCCCCTTCAGCCACTGCCCCCTGTCTTTCCCTCCCTTTCTGTCAGAATGCCTTAAACAAGGTGTCAGCACACACGGTTTCAGATTTTTCTTCTCTTCTTCACTCTTTTTAAACATACTCCATTCAGGTTTTCAGCTCTGTTGTTGCTAAATCCAGAGGTTCTCATCAGTCCTCCTTTATTTGATTAAGATTCTTTACTTCCTAACCTGGCTTCTGGGACACTGCACTTGCCTGCTTTTCACCTGCCCCTAGAGGTGCTTCATTTCAGTCGCCTGGTCTCTCTGACCTCTTCTTCGGCAAGTCCCGTAGGAGACACAGAATGTGACCACACACTATCTGCACGGCCACCACGCCGGTCCAGGCCTCCATTGGCTCTTGCCTAGACTGTTAACATAGGTTCCTGATGTTCTTCCTGCTTCCACTGTCTTTTCTGTCTCATTTTTTCTTAGCAAAACAGCTGGCGATACTGTTGAAATAGGTCACCTCTTACATTCTGAATTCTCCGGTGTCTTTCCTTCTAGCTCCGAGTAAAATCCAGATTCCTTACGATTGACCCATGAGGCCCCACAGGCTCTGACTCCTCTCCCCGTACCCTTCTGCTTCTCTTACTTCATCTTCTCTCTTTCTCCCTTTTGCTCCAGCCCCTGTGGCCAGCTTGCTGTTTCTCAAATAACACCAGCCGTGCCTCCACCTCAGAGCCTTTGTGTTTGTTCTTTTTTTTTTTTTTAATTTTTAAAAAATGTTTGCTTACTTATTTTGGGACAGAGCATGAGCAGGGGAGGGGCACAAGGAGTTTGCTAGAAAAATAAAATTTAGTTGCTACGTGCTAGTGATATTTTATTTTGTTTATTTATTTT